CGGTCGCCTCTGGCGTTCTGTCTTTCTCGGTGTTGGAGTCGACGTCGTACCTTACGGATAGCACTCAGGACGAGAGAAAAGAACTCCGCTCAACGTCTTTTCAAAAAGGAATAAAATAGAGGGCGGGAAATATAATAACAGGTCGTCCAGTCCATCGGCCCGCTGGTTTGGCCGGCAGCGTGCGGAGGTATCTCTATGTAATGTTCGGCCGAACAACCCCATCGGCTAATCTATGACGCCCAGCCCAGCCAGTCATAACCATTAAAGCGGGTGGGACCAGGGCGAAGAGGATGGGCAACGGGCGGCCTCGCAGACAGACGGCCAGACAGACGGACGGGAGGCAGACGAATGGGCATACAAACCGAGCCAGACCGACGACTGGGCGGACTCTCGTAAAGGAGAGGCTCGGCGTGCCAAGACTGCCAAGACTCAAGACGGAGTGGCCAAGAAAAAACAAGTATCAGAAAAATTAATTTAACACTAGGGGTTCAGAATTATTTCTAGTCGGGGGCGAAGTGACTCTGAGATTTCGTGTACAACAGCTTATCCAGGATATTCGGGTTACTACCGGAGTATACCCCTAGATAACTCCCAGATTACCCCCTGGAGTGACACTTCGAACACCCCGAGATTACCCGCCGATGGCCTCTAGGTAACACTTGGATTGCACCTTGATCGTACCTCGGACTTGCCCAGGGGGCAATTCTGATAAGCCTCCTCACTCTAGCAAGATATGGGTGATTATCGAAAAATCGAAAAAACCGTGCATATTCGTTCCAAAGCGTCATCAGAATCCTCTGCATAGTGCTCCTGTCCCCATTTAGGCTTCTCTCAACGATTTTCGAGGTGCTTCATTATAAACCACCAAAAAATGTTGACAATTTTTTTCCGCTGACAGGGCCAGCAGTTCTCGAAAGGGAAAAATACTCCTTATGTTTTTTTTGTATACACTCCGATGCTTTCCACACATCCGCCTAGCTATTTGCACTAATACGTCCGCCCCCCCCCCTCTTAAAAAAAAATAAAATCGGCCACTGCGTGACTATACGGTGTGGCGCAAATTGCTCTTACCACCCCACGAACCCCCTCCCCGACCCGTATTCGCGGTACCCACCTAAGCACATACAAATGACGACTAATGGTCGGGTGCACTCTGCAGCGGGTAGGTAGCCCGTCCAGCCCGATGGCGGGAGATTTGAAAAGGGTGCCTCGCGCGAGTTACGCCGGCTCGGTTACCGGCGGCGGAGGGCAAAAGCGAGAGCTCTAGAGTGCCAAGCGCAGCCAGAAAAGAGAGTGCCGCTATTTCTCTGATTAGAATCCTCGTTACGCGACAGCAGGGTGAGGATTTAAAAAATTTTGAGCGTCGGAGGAACAACAAAAAGCCCCTGGTGCATAACAAAATAAACGTATAACTAAGATACATTTCAATCATTAAAACCAACGTGGCGGCAGCGGCGCGCCAATGCACGGCAGCCAATATCTTTAGGAGAAAAATATTCGTTTAGCTCCGCTCGCGTAAAGTGGCGTCCGGGGAGCCATTGCGGGGCAGGCGCGCGCCACAGCTGAGGCCGAGGCTCAGGCACAGCTAAACCCTATGCACCTGCCGGAGACGGCGGCCAACCTGGACGGACTTCTGCTGGTCGCCGAGCTTGACAACATCATAGCGTGCGACGGCCTCTCAAACACCCCCAAGCCAAGTGTTTCTGGTCGTCGCGGCCGAGCGGTTCCACCGGGAGCAGGTTACAGTTACAGCAACCGCCGAGTTGGCAACAAGGGAGAGGGGCCGCGCCGCCGCCGTGCGCTCTGCCGCGCTGGCTGCGAACTTAATCGCAGATTACGGTCCCTGCAGTCGACATGTGTAGGGGGGATTACTGCTGGGGCAGGGGGCGGAGGGTGGGGGTGAGGTTTCCACCGCCTGCGGACTTCCAAGGGTGGCCATAGGAGTTCATCGCGGGTAAATAATTGCTGTACGGTGACCTTGGAATTTACAGGATAGGGGGCCGGGAACGAGAAGTAGTAACAATACGGACAATGGAATCCTTCCCCCCAAAAGAACAAAGAAACAAAACAAAAAATTACAGGATTAATGTGATCTATGATGGTATGTGAAATAAAATAAGAGTAGGAGGCAAACAAGCACAACGCCGGAAAAGAGGTGCATTGGTTGTCTACGGGGTACACCAATATTTGTCTAAGAGAAAGTGAAGCTTGCGAATCCAGAGATGCAAAATATTTCGCGTCTGAGCTGTGTGTCTAAAGTCGGGGCAGTCACGATTTAGGAGTTTCTTCAGGTTGTATTTGCGGTTTAGAATAAATGTACTTGAAAACGAATTAAGAGTAGCATGTAGTTGATATTTAGGCGTGCACGCCTCATGAGACACACAGTTACCGTATAGCGGATAAATTAATTTATCAAAAGAATACTTTCAAGTTGTTTTTCACCTACGATCATTAGGTTGGGATCGATTGCGATATCACTAATAAATGATGTGTGCTTGTCACAGTACAAGTGTGACATCATAGCATGTCACGTGTGGTATGTTTGGTCACGTTTGTGACCTCTTACGACGTTCTTGGCTGATGTTGCATCAATTGTTGTGATATAAACTCAGATCAAAAGGTGAGACCAAAACTGATCGCACTAATTGATGTGACACACGCTGCATAGTTTTTCCAGTGTCGCGGGGCGCACGGCTGCTAGACTGCAAGGAGCCATCAGACAGTGAGCTCGGCGCCTGCAAGACTCAGGGTAGGCCACACCGCAGAACACGCATGCTCGCAGGCACATATGTTGCCTACCTATCAGGCGCTATGAGAGCGTAAGTCCTTTTATTGCGATAGTTGGTTAGAGAGAAATAAAATGGCACATGTCAAGTTACGACCCTTTGACACAATACCGATATTTTATTTTATACAGTCCCGGGCTGTCTCTACTGGCTAGCAGGGTGTGCTGAAAGCCCACCTTTCTGTTTTCATTGAGTAATGGACATAATTCCAGAAAAAATGGTCAAAATGTATGTTTGTCACGCTATTTGTTAGTAACTGAGGCGCTACGTTGTTATGCCATACATGTCCAGACTCAAAATCTCAAGACACACCAGGTCACGATTTGTACACAACCCGTGAGAGAGATGTAATAAATACACCGGATCTGAACAGAAGAGGCAGCGAGACATGAACGGGACAATAAGAAACAGTAGACACGCACGATAAGTGGAGAAACAGCCCCAAGGCAAGTGGGGACTGCCAATAGCTGTCTGCTATCCACTAGTACCCTTCTTTCCCTTCATCCCCCATTCCCATTCCCTTCGTCTTCTTTCCCTTTTTTTCTTTCTCTTTCTCTCAAACTCCCTTCCCATCTCCCTGCTCGCACATCTTAAACAGGACGCATTGTTGTGAAT